AAGTCATTGCATAAACCCATATTATTTTTGGGGCTTCTTCACCAAAATATATATTTTTATTATCATCAAACTTATTTAAATGGATGGTCACCATTTCAACTTACAATTAGTCCACCTGTCTGAAAAAAACACAAAAAGTTCGTGGTAGTTTCATGGAGTACATTTTGTGTTTGTTCTGTTTGTATGTGAATTCAAGGATGAATTACTTTCACTCCTTAGGTATAATCTTTTTTTCTTTTCTTTTCTTTTCTTTTCTTTTCTTTTTTTAAATTTGATTCTTCAAATATTATATTATATTTTTCACTTGAGTCTAAATTCTAACCAACGTTATATTTTTTTCACAGAAAAAAAAAAAAAAAAAAAAAAAACGATGGAAAGCCCCAAATTTTATTAAGCACAATAGAACAAGGCATGATTTTAGTCTGAGGCTTCAAAAATTCTTGAGTCGCTACCACCAATCATGTACAGAATATCTTGGAAAGAGCATAACATGAATCAACAAAATGGTAAATAAACAACTTCCTATATGCTATATTGAATACAATGTACAGAAGTTTACTAAATAGAAACAAACTTATTTTTACTAAATTTAAATAGTTACAAAATTTCTAAAATTATTAGTTTTGAAAAATGGCACTTTTAAACTAGTTCATTGCAGTAGCTAAACATTCCATTAAAAATAAAATAATTTATGAATTTCCTTAAGAACAGAAACAAACCAAACATTCCATTAAAAATAAAAATAAAAGTGTATATTAGAATTATTTATTTGAAAAGAATTGGTACAGAACAAGCTCATTCCTATTCTTACAAAGATGAAGATGAAGATTAAGAAATCAGTAAACTCTAATCTATTTTTTGTTTTCCTTCACAAAAATAAAAAAATAAAAAATAAAATCTTGTGTTCTTCTTGTTTGGGTCTATTTGTTTGGGTCTAAATTTGTGGTTCACCTTTATTTGGTAGAATGGGAATTATTGAATCTGATTTTATTTTTATTTTTAATAATTGAGTCTCTGGCCAGAATAGGAGTATTTTTTTATTATGATTATTGTATTGTATTGTAATGAATCTTACTTTCTGGAATTTTAATTTGAATAGGAGTATTGTTTTTTCATTTTTATTTTTTTTCATTTGTTCTTATTCTACCTGGTAGTTGTGAGGGATGTCATCTGGCCAAAATTCAACAGCTAATTCCCCCCAAGCCACAAGGGGAAAATCTGATATTGCATGGCGGACAAGTCAAGAATGCTGGAGCTCTGAGGTCGAATATCGGAGTGGCAGTAGGAGTTGGAGTTTGGGGGGGGGGACTTTTCAAGATTCATATGTGTTGGATTTCAAAGAATTTTTTTTATGCTTGTTCTTAATGCATTAAAGTGTTATTATGATGGCAAGACTTGGGAGTTGGAAGAAGTTAATAAATGCTACGATTTTTTTTTTAAGTAAAAAAATCAAAAAATTTAAATTGGGAGATTGAAGCTCCCACAAAGTTTGGAGTTAAAAACCTCCTTTTGCTTAATATATAGTATAGATACTAGCCTATCACCCGTGCTATGCACGGGATAATTATTGATATTTATATTTGTTTTAGATTTTTTTTAATATATAAATTATGTTTTTTAAGATTTTTTATAAAAATAATTTAACAATCTTATCACTAATCATAATGTATGGGAGAAGTTGAAAAGGGTACTGCAGTAACTATATACTGATTGTATCTATAATAATTTGTTTGAGGGGATTTTAAATGATGATCAGGGAATTTTGACCAAATCAATAAATGCAGGCATGTGGAAAGACATATGGATTGAAAAAAGTTAATAAATGTTGATATGAGAATTTTGACCAAATCAGTTGTGTTTTTTTTTTAAATAAAAAATTTAGAAAATTCAGATTGGGATATTGAAACTCTCACAAGTCTTGGGAGTTAAAAACCCCATTTTTAAATGTCTTCTTTTTTTCCTTTTTTATATTATATTAAAGTTTAATATGTTGATAACAATCATATGTGTTGGACTTTTCAAGGAATTAAATATCTTTTTTTTATTATATTGTATTAAAATTTAATATTTTGATAATAATCATATGTGTTGAATTTTTCAAAATTTTTTTTATGCTTGTTCTTAATGCATTCAAGTGTTATTATGAGGGATAATAATCATATGTGTTGGGACTTTTCAAGGAATTCACGTGTGTTAGATTTCAAAGAATTTTTTTTTATGCTTGTTCTTAATGCATTAAAGTGTTATTATGATGGTAAGACTTGGGAGTTGGGAGAAGTTAATAAATGCTAAGATTTTATTTTTTTTTAAATAAAAAAATCAAGAAATTTAGATTGGGAGATTGAAACTCTCACAAGATTTGAGATTAAAAATCTCTTTTTACTTAATATATACTATAGACACATTAATCACAATTCATCACATCATACATAAAAGTGTGACTTTACAACACCTGAACGTTCACTGCCTTTCATTTTTCTCTCATTTTTGTCTTCTTTGTGTAGCTTTCTGTCATCTCATCTCCATAACCGACTTCATCGGGACCATCTATTTACACACACCAAATACTCTTTTTGCACATCCTTCTCACTACACATACCAAAAAAATTAATTCTTAATTAGTTTACTCACTACACACACAGTTCATTCCACATCTACCCTCACACACACACACACACACCCCCGACTCCAAACCCAGCTACACACACCCATTGAAGCTGAGCTCCATCTTCAACCTTGAGGATATACACACCCATTGAAGCTTACCGTGTGCAAATACATTGAAGCATTCCATCACATAGAAGCTTACCATGTGCAACCTAGGTGTGCAAATACATTGAAGCATTTCATCCACCAAGCTGCATCTCATTGAAGCATTCCATCACATTTTCAATCCTCATTAGGTGAGTTTACTTTTGAATCATCATTCCTATTTAATTTGCAACGTAGAGTTTTGTTTTTTTCATTTTGAAAACGAATGAAGACCCACAGATCGTGAACAAACCGTTCGGAACTGGGTTTCCGAAATTGAGGAATTTGTTCGGAAGTAGGAATCCGAAATTGATGATTTATTTCAACAGTCGATTTCCGAAACTTTTTTGATTATTTCGGCAGTCAACTTCCGAATACATTAAATTCAAACAATAATCAACTTCCGAAATTAATTTTTTGTTTCAGATTTCAACTTTCGAACAGTATATATATTTTCGGATTGCAACTTCCGAACAGTGTTTTTTTTTTTTTCTTCCTTTTTTTGTGTATTATTTTTACATTTGTGGTAATCTCAATATTTTAAGCATCCATGTTAGTACCCATTGAAGCATCCATGGTAATACTTTTGAATCATTATTATTTTTTTTAATTTTATTTTGTTTGGGTATATTAATTTTTGTAGAGAATATGGATTTTGAATATCAACAACGTGTCCCACCTACTGCTTCAAATAGACGACGTCGTGAATTGGATGTTGACCACGAACGGGGACAAGGGCGTGGGCGAGGACGAGGTCAAGGTTGTGGTCGAGGTCGTGATCCAATTTCGGTAGAATATGATATCCCCAGTGCCAGTCAAAGTAGAAGTCGAAGCCAAAGACGAGTTGAAGGTGATGATATGACTGACATTGCTGCGGAGGACGCCTTTTTACCCGACATTGACATACAGTCGTAGGCCTAGGCCTAGGCATACAACTGATTCGTGACATGTTATTTGCATGTTGATGAAATTTTTTTGGTAATTTTTGTAAGATGATATTGTTGTAATGGTAACAGTGGTTAACATTTTTCTTATTACAATGGAATGGCAACAATGGTATTGTAATGACATTGTAATGACATTTTATTTTTAGAATGGAATGGTAACAATGGTGGTTGATTTTGTAAGTGATATTTTCTTATTATCAAACATTTACATTTGGTGAGCAATTCGAAACATAAAATCCATGTGAATTGAGTAGTGTAATCCAACACAAAATCAACGCAAACCTGACTTCTTCCTACATGTTTTGTATAACATTACAAAATTTTAATGGCATTATAAACATAAATTTGCAATTCGAAACTGTAAATTTAGTTTGCAGTTTGCAAATTTGGAATATAAAATAGGAAAACAAAATTTTACTTCATTCGGAAGTAGTTGTCCGAATTTTTTTTAAAATTTCGGAAGTTGAATGTTGTAAAGGCTAAATTTGTTCGGACAACAACTTTCGAATTTAAATACTTTGTTCGGACAACAACTTCCGAAATTAATAACTTTGTTCGGACAACAACTTCCGAAATTAAATAATTATTTCGGTTGTAGATTTCCGAACCAAATAATACAATACGACCCTGGTTATCCGAACGACGCTGGAAAAAAAAAAAAAGTGATGTTCATTTGGATATCCTCCACAGGCAAATCCGACTCTGCTCATTTCCAGCGCAAATCCTCTAGAACAATGATGAATGAAGAATAAGTGATGCTCTGTGAAGGTGAGTCCAACGTGATGGATGACTGACTTCAGCTTAATGAATGAGTGCTGAACTTGGAGCTTCAACGTGATAGATGTGTGTGCATTGAAACTTTTGAATTGGGTAGATATCTAAAATAGTAATTTCATTTAGGGATAAAATTGTAATAAGATTAAATATCATTAAGTGTGTGCAAAGAGGGTATTTGGTGTGTGTAAATAAAAGCTCCCGACTTCATCTCTCTTGCCATTTTCTAAAAATATTTTTTCCCGTATGCAACCTTCATAGACCACCTTAATTTGCCACCCATCACGACCCACGCCTGACAAATTTTTAGGAATAAAAATAATTTATTTGTAAAATTTATATTTTTAAAGATAAAATAAAAGAGTTTAAAAAAGTATATATTTAATCATATTATTACATTTTCTAGACAAATTTATTTAGTTGTAGCCATCCTTTTTCCTATAACTTTAGTTGGTCCTAATAAATCCAAATCATATATTATTTTATTTTATATATTAATTTTTGAACTTAATAGTCGGGACTAAAAAAAAAAAAAGCATCCAGGTTTCACTCACTCTCTCTCAAATCCCTAATTTCTTTTTCTCTCGCAAATGCAATGGTTCTTCTCTACGGATCTCGTTGATTGCTTCTGATCTCGGCAACAATTTCATCCTCGAGGAGTCTCATAGCATCTCTCTCCACTGTGATTTCAGCATCGAGGTTCGATCGATTAATCGATTTCAGTCTCATAGATTTGGTTTTTGATCTATTATTCGTATTTATTCTTCAAAAATGCTTATTTATCGGTGTAATGTTTGTGCTGATGACTTCACTTCGTTGTGCTGATTTATGATGTGCTGGTTCGAATACACGATCACTGAAATGTAGTATTAATTTTGGTGCTGAGATTTGATGATTCTGTTAATTTTGGTGTTGATTTGATGATTTGTGATGTGCTGGTTCGAATAGTACTAGTTGTTGATTCTGTTAATTTTGGTGCTGAGTTTTGAAATGTAGTATTAATTTTGGTGTTGAGATTTGATGATTCTGTTAATTTCGGCAAACTTGAGAGACGCCTCTAGGTGAAATAGTTCTTGATATTTCCTTATAGATACTTCTACGACTAATTGAGAGTCAATGTGTTTAACATTTGGCAGGCAACATTCTTGTGGCCATCTCTGATTACATTGTTGCATCTGTATGTGAAAATTTACTACCTTGAAAGTTCGACTTTTTTTTTTCTTTTTTTTCTTGTGATTTATCTTGCAAAACTGTATGTTGAACATATTGACTCTCAATTGGTAGCAAAAGTATCTAGTTTAAGCAAATCCATAAAAATATTATTTCTCTTGTGGTGCTGAGATTTGAAATGTAGTATTAATTTTGGTGTTGAGATTTGATGATTCTGTTAATTTCGGCAAACTTGAGAGACGCCTCTAGGTGAAATAGTTCTTGATATTTCCTTATAGATACTTCTACGACTAATTGAGAGTCAATGTGTTTAACATTTGGCAGGCAACATTCTTGTGGCCATCTCTGATTACATTGTTGCATCTGTTTGTGAAAATTTACTACCTTGAAAGTTCGACTTTTTTTTTCTTTTTTTTCTTGTGATTTATCTTGCAAAACTGTATGTTGAACATATTGACTCTCAATTGGTGGCAGAAGTATCTAGTTTAAGCAAATCCATAAAAATATTATTTCTCCTGTCAAATAATTTTGCTGCAATTGATGATTTTAATTTTTTTTTTTAATTCACGACCCTACCACAGTTACCCTTAAAAACTTTTTAATAGAGTTAAAAAAAAGAAACAAAAAAAAAACATGAAATGCAAATGGATAAGGCAATCAGACGATCCACATCAACCTAACAGGCGATGACTTTTATACTTAAGATGCCTAATTTTTTTTGTGAGTTTTTTTTTTCCCCTTCTTTTTTGGTGGATATGAAAAAAAGGGTTAAGGTGGTATTGAATTTTCTGATGGTTAAGTAAAAATTGAGTCAGAAGTCAAAATTTATAGACTGAAACTTGCAATTTCTTACACAATATTGAAGGAACATATTGAAAAAAAAGTAATGGAAAAGAATAAAGACGACAAAGACAACTATACATTTAGAGTCATGACAAAAATTTATAGCAAGTTATGACTTTTAAAACCAAAATTTGAAGTTTTGTTTGAAGATTCTAAGTCTGCATCATCTTCATTGAACCAAGTTATTATTACATTGTGAATTTCCATGCAGAGTTTTGACTTATGTGCCTAAAGTGGTGTATTGTTCAATGGGTTTTTTGTTTGTTCATCACCTTTTCAAAGCCTAATCTTATGGTGGTTTGCGAATCATTATGGCTATGTGGAAAAAAATAAGGAAAAGAAAAGAATTTGTAAGACAATTTTCTATGTTGTTTTGTGGTTGCCGTGGAAAATTTAATTTTCAACAATTTTTAGAAAAAAAAAGAGAAGAAGAAAAAGAAGCATGATTTAGTTGATTTTATTGAGGTGAGAGAGTAGCATTTTGGGTAAAAATAGCTAGTTAATGATATCAATGTCTACTTACTCTGTGAATGATTTTTTAAGATGCATGGAAGGAATCAAATCAAATATTTTATAGATGCGAATGGATAAGGCAATCAGATGATCCAATCAAATGAAAACAAGGAAAGTTATAATTCTATTCTTCATCTATAAAATAATGGGAATGAAAACAAGGAAAGTTATAATTCTAAAATGGTATGAAGGATCTCGAGTGGTCTTGTTGGCTGTGTGTCTGTCCTAGATAATTTGCTAATTCATATACTTCTTAATTTATAATATTATTATTAATATGGAGCACACTGTTCTTTTACTGCTTTTAATGCCATGAAGTCTGTCAAATATTTTGTTTGAAATGCTTCATTTGTAAATTTCACTCTTTTGTTGTTTGTGTTTGCATGGTTTATTCTAGCTTACATGTATGCTGCTGGTGGTATTATGTTTAACCAAATTAAATATGTTCATCTTTTTCGGACAATCTTTACCAAAGCAAGTATACAAATTACTTATAGTTAGTTAGTTGTCCATCTGAAGTGCAATTATTCACTTAAAAAAAAAAAAAAAAAAAAATTGTAATTAAAGATATTCAGATAGCTAAAAGTCACCTGTCACGTGTGTTGCCTTTTACCAGCGTTTTATTCTTTGTCGTCTCAACTTTACATGCATATCTGGCTTCTTTGATTACGTCACACTTACTAGTGATGATTTGATTGATAATGCTCACAACATCAATGTAAATTGTGTCTATTTTATATTAATTTTTTTAAAATTTTTGTAACAAGTTGATTTAGTTTAATCTTTATTAACTCTTGAATATTGGCAGTGAGTGTGATTGCTGCAGATATTACAATTGGCACATTAAATTGCAATTTATCAAATTAATCTATCATTGGATAATTTTTAATTGGTATGCAGGTTCTGCAAGCTTGTGTCGATTTGAAGCTTGGAAGCTCTCTGTTAGATTTTGAATGTCATTTCAACGAAACCATTGAGAAGAAGATGCGATGAGTTGAGTTGTTTTGTTATGTAGGTAGATATAACTCCAATTACAATCTGTTCAGTGAATAGTTGAATGCTACAAACAATACTTATGGCACTAGCTTTATAAATTAGAAATAATACTTTTGAAATCTCTGTCAGTTTATGATATACAATCAAGATATTACATACTAATGAATCAGAACATGGTATTTGTTTGTTATTAAAATATCTTCTTTTGATTAAGCCTCTTTGAATGTGATGAACATTTTTTTTTTATGTAGTTGAATTTTAATTTAGAGATGAACAGATGGTTTGGTGATATATTTAATGTTTTCTGTTTGGTTGTTGAAAAATCAAGAAAAGAATATAAGTTGATATTCAAACTAGTATTTTTAGAGTAATTGTTATAAAATCAAAAAGCCAAAGAAAAAAAAAATTATTAAACTTTTAGAGACCGATTTTAGTTGTCTCAAAAAAATTATAATATTTACACACCACTTTCATTTGTCCCAAAAATTAAAACTTTTAGAAACTAATTTCTATTGTCTCAAAAATTAATCTTTTGTCTCTATAACTACTTCTTTTGCGCTAATTAAACTTTTAGAAACAAATTTTTGTTGTCTCAAAATCAAAACTTTTTACAATTACATATTTTTGTCTCTAAAAATCTATTTATAGTAACAAATGTAAAATTTTGTCTGTAAAAATTATTTTTTGACTTTTTCAAACAGACCATTTGGGACAAATTTCATGACGGAAAAAATTACTAATTGACTAAATTTTTTCCCAATAAATATTACACTTTTAAGAATATAATAAATTTACCCTTAAAAAATTATTTCCTTGTAGTGTTATCTCAAATTCTCATCATTCTCGTGGCATTTACTGAAGCCACTGCCACTAGTTACTTTTTACGGCCTACTTTATTCCCCTAAAACTCTCATTCATTTCTTTTAGATTCAGTTTGTTTTTAGAGGTAGAATGAAAGAGATTGATGATAAAAAAATTATTAGTGAAGGGATTAATTAAATTTATATTTGTTTTGAAAATAGTTGTTAGTATAGGACTTATTAAATTATTTTTATATAAAATGATAATAGTTGTTAGTGTAGGGATTGTCAAATTATTTTTATATAAAATAAATATAAAAAAATATAAAAAATACAAAAAAAATTAAACATTAATGTTTTAAAAAAAATACCCAATATGTAAAAAATTTTAAAAAAATAAAAATAAGATAAAAAATTTCCAGAAAAAAATAAAACAAATAAAATAATGATTTTTACTTAACAAAAAATTCAAAAAATTAAACATTAATGTTTTAAAAAAATGCCTGACATGTAAAAAATAAAATAAAAAATAAATAAAAATAAAAAATTTCTAGTCCGCCGGACTATTTTTCTAATACCAAGTCCTAGAGGCCCATTCGAATCCCCTTGAGAAGGCCCATCCTAATCCGGAGCTCACTATCAATTCCCTCCCCATCTCTTAAAACAAACACAATATTAATGAGTCTTACCTCACTACCAATCCCAATCCCCCCTCTAACTCTTTAAACAAATGGAGCCTTAGGGGTGTCTGTTGGGAGGGATTAAAAAGAGACTAAAAGCACTGTTTTGACTTGAATCTATTGGAGGGAGATGTTCATCGTTTGGTGCAACTTTAGTTCGTCGGGCATGGAATCCGACCCGGACTCTATATTTCTCATACGAGGGACTAGATAATCCTAGGGGGGGTGTGATTATTTCTAGGGGATTGGTATCTCATAGGACCAATGTGTAAAATATCTATTTTACCCTCATGCTATTACTTAGTAAACAATTGAAAAAGGGTAAAATAGTCTTTTGAACATTTATAAATTAAAAATTAAATTTAATTAAAAATAATAAATTAAAAATTATATGGCCTTAAAAATTTAAAATTTTTTTAGTGTTGTTAAATTAAATGATAAAAAATTAAAAATTAAAAATATTTATAAATTAAATTTTTTTAGTGTTGTTATTACAATTTCCCCTAACCTTTTGAACATTTATAAATTATAAATTACAAAATTAAAATTATATATTAAATAAAAATTATAAATTAAATTTAATTAAAAATAATAAATTAAAAATTATGGTCTTATAAATTAAATTTTTTTAGCGTCGTTAAATTATAAATTATAAGGGTAAAATAGTCTTTTGAACATTTATTCTTATTCAGTTCATCCAATCAAACATTGGACTCAATAAAATAGTTCAATTCAGATATTTAATCGCCATAATTAAACAAATATAGGATATAAATCCAATCTAACCAAATAGTTTGGGGACAATATATCATAGGATTAATAATTTAGTGAATTATAATCCTCCCTTATCTAATCCGTCCGAACAAACACACATGTACTCTACGTCAGGCCATCACCAATACTCCCGACCAACCTCTTTCTCACTTCCCTTCCCTTACATTATAAGCCACCACTGCTATTCACTTTGTTAGTTTCAGTTTTCAAAATTCACTTTTCAAAAAATTTTACTTTTTTACTTTTTTGTATTTTTTGTTTTCACTAAATTTTTTTAATATTTTAAACAATTTTTTTTAATTTCTAGATACACCTAATATAAATACACTTAAAAAGTATAAAATTTGTGAAAAAAATCTTTAAAAAATTCACTAATTACCAAAAATACAAAAAAATAAAATAAAATAAAAATTCAATAAAAACACAAAAAAATAAAATAAAAATTCAGTACATTTTTCATATTTTTATCTATTTATTAATTTTTAAAAATATTTGTTGATAAATATTATACTATCTAGATACATCTAAATAATGTGCATCTAAAAAAGTAAAAAAATTACTTAAAATTTTAAAAATATTTACTAAAAACCAAAAAATCACAAAAAATAAAAAAACTCAATTTTTTAAAAACTAAAACAAAACACACTAATTGTTTTTCACAATCACAACTCAACTAATTTTTTGTTCAACAAGTAGACCTTGGGTTGGTTTTGAAAATGTCTTTTACAAATTGTCCTTTACTCCACTAAGGATTGTTTTGAAAGTTAACAATTTTGGTTGGTTTTGAAAATGTCTTTTACAAATTGTCCTTTACTCCACTAAGGATTGTTTTGAAAGTTAACAATTTTGGTGGTACAACATACACTAATTATTATATTAATTATTATACCAATGTATATTATAGTATTATTATTGATCTCATCCATTATACAAATTATAAATATCCAAAACTTCTAAAATTATATTATATCATCTGTTAGTACACTAATTAATATACCAATTAGTACATATAGTATTATTACAATTATTTTAGTTAATTTTTTAATACGTATAAAAAAGTTAGAAAAAATAGTTGATTTTCTTTGCAGTGATTTTTTTTTTCTGCTTTTCAACTATTTTAGTATGTTTCCAAACTTGCCCTAAAAATAAAAATAAATAATAAATAAAAAAAAGTAGAGAAAGTGTATTAACTTTTTAGTGACTTTTTGACTACTTTTAATCATTTTCAAATCAAGGCCTTTGATTCAGATACATACCATTGCATATATATTTTTCATTTTTTTTAGGGGTTGTTTGGGATGATCTAAATAAATGTACTTTTTAACTTTTTACAAAATATGGATTAGGTTTGGGTTGTGTTTGAAGTGATGTGTTAGAGGTGGTGTGACTTAAATAAGATGATGTGACTTAAAAAGGATAGTGACTTTTTGACTTTTTGAATTTTTTAAGAGTTGTTGAAGCTGATTTTTGAGATTTGATGGATTGGGAGAGAAAAATGCCTGGGAGCACTAAAAATGGGACACTAGAAGGACCACTAATGATGTGGCAGTGGGTTCCGCCCACTTTCTATGCCTTGTTTCTTTTTTTTATCTTTTTTTTTTTACCATTCCTAATGCATTAGTGCTATTAGTGGTGTATTTTTTAGTGGTCTAAATCATTGTTGTTTTGGAGATGAGTCTTGGGATGGGTATGGTTTTGAGATTGTGTTGTATTTGAAGTGGAATTTAGAGTTTAAAGTGTGAAAGGGTCTAAAATGAGAAAATCTAATTTTGTAAGGACCATACTTGGAAAACTAGTTTTTTCAATTTCAAAACTATTATCTAAAAAGTTGTTTTGAATATGACTTATAAATTATATTTTTTATTTATTATGAAAATACGTATAAAAAAATTGAGAAGTGATGTAACTTTAGATGAGCCAATAAATTAATCAGTTGCTTTTTTTTAGATATTACCAAAAGAGAGTTATATATTGGACCTATGAGAATATTTTATTTAAGGGTTTGATTTCTCTAAAATTGGTCATCTTAATTTGAGAAAATGCTTGGATTTTGTAGATCCATTTTTAGACCGATTTTAGTGATTTAAATCGTGTGCTTTGTATAATTCATCAAGTAGAATATTCATGCAAGAAATCAAATTGTTAGCTGTATATTTAAATCAAATTTATATTTTAAAAAAAGATAGCTATTCGTGAAATTATACTTGTCATTCATTTTTTAAAAACAAATATGATTAAAACATATAATTATTGATGTCCAATAATATTAATTTTTTACATAAATATTCTATTTAACGAATTTTAAAAAGTGAACGGTTCAAATTATCGAATTCAATTCTACATTAGGCTTACCAAACCCAACTGCTCTTGTGCCCATAGAAAATAAATAAATAAAAACAAATTGATGGAACCAAAAAAAACTACGTAAGTTTTGAATTTGAAATTTTACTTTTCCAGGGCCCATTCACCTTATAATTACGACAACTAACTTAAGTTTTGTATTTTAATGTAGTTGTTTCGTTATTTCAATATTCAAAATTTAAGTAAAAATTGGAGCAAAAATGATTCAAATGAAATTTGAATAAATTTAAAGAGTGAAAATATAATTTGGTTCATATATTTTTCTTCTTTGATTGTCCATAAACCTGTTCTCAGCCATTAGATTAGGGGAATGGCTTCTGTCCAGTCCTTAATCGGACTGGATCGTGCTGTTAGGCCCGTGGAAGTCCACCACGGGTCCCGTTTTGTTAATCTGAATCGTTTAATGTGCAGAACTCGTCGAGTACTATACGCTTAAAAAAAATCACGTTGATCGGATATCGATAGCTATGTGATCAAACATATTTTTGTCAACCATTAATTTATTTACCGTCCATTTTTTTTATACAAAACTGATTTGATCACATAGCTATCGATATCTGATTAATGTGATTTTTTACAGGCATATAGTACTCGACGAGTTCTACACATTGACGGTTCAGATTATCAAAACGGGGCCCGTGATGGGCCCCTGGGCCCAACAACACGGTCCAATCCGATTAAAGACTGGACAGAAGCCATGCCCTAGATTAGCCCCCTGTGTCCAATTTTTTAGAAAAAAATTACAGATCAGTGGGGATTAGAAAAAAATATTTATAAATGGTGAAAAAAATTTATGATATAATTATTCATATTTTTTATTTTTTTATAAATAAATTTTTTAATTCCCCCAATTTTTTTAAGAGTGAAAATAAGACGATTTATATTCTAAGGGTATCGAGAGGTATTTCAAAAAAATATTATTGATAGATGAAAATTTTAATGTTGCGTTTGATAGAGCTTTGTAACTATGATTTGAGAGTATGAGTTGTATTTTGAATTTGTGAGGTTTGGAATTATGATTTGAGTGTGGAAAATTTGTTTGGTACAGAGTTTTGAAAATAATGTTAAAAAGAGTTTTGATTTGAGTGGGGAATTGTTAATGTGACATTTGATATTTGATACAAAAATTTACAACTCATAACTAAACATACAACTCAAAATTATTTTAAAGCACATAAAAAAATTTAAAAAATTCAGAAAATGTTTTTTTCGATTTTATAAAAATTAACATATCAATTGCACAAAAAAATAAAAAAAGAATCACTATTCTGGTCAATCGGCTGGACGACCGGTTAGGCAAAATTTGCAAAAAAAAAATTATGAAAATCGCGCCTAAGACAGAGTTCTTTGCAGAGTTTTGGAAAACTGATTCCAAAACTCCTTCCAAACATCATACTCAAATATAGATGTAGAATTATGTTTTCAAAACACAATCAAACGGAGTGTTTTACGAAAAAATTGAAAAACTAAATTATTTTTTTGTACAAATTGAAAATTTTATATCTATAAATGAGCATGATGTTAGAATATTGATGTGCAAAATTGAAAAAAAAAACATAAAAATGAAAAAACTAATGTTCATAATTTTAAAATTGTAAAAAATTGATAATATTCTCGATTTTATCGGATAATTGAATTAAATCAACAAGTAGAAGGGCAAAAACAATCTCATACTCTGTTTTTTCCCCCTCAATTAGCAAAACAATTATTTAGAACATTATTATGCAAAATTGATATTATTTTTAGTTTTAAAAATAAGAAAAACTGATAATATTCTCAGTTTTACTAAATAGGACTTATTGGTTCAAAATTTTTTAGATAGGACATGAATTATCATAACATTTGTAAATAAGACTTTTAGGTAATTAACTCTTATTATTTATCCTATAAGGGGTGTTTGGAAAATAGGTTAGATATTAACATAGCCAATAAAATAAAATATGATAAAATAGTCAAAAAGACAAAATATTGTATTTAAATCATAATCATTTTATTTTTTTTCTCTCAACTATTAAGGACTATTTGGGGAAGATGGTTATATCAGCTTTTTAGTTAAAAGCTGATTAAAAACGGATTGTAATCAACTTTTTGTGAGAGAGAGAAGTGAGTTATAATCTGAGAAGTGGATTATAACCCACTTCCCAAAAGACCCCTAAATCAACTATAAAAAAAAAATCAACCAACTTCTCAAATATAATTTTTTTAAACAAACTAATATAATTAAAAAAAATTAAACAACCAATTAAAATAACCAACAGTTGAAATCCAATTACTTTATTTGTTATAATTAAAAATCTATATCTATACTATATATTAAGCAAAAGAGATTTTTAACGCCAAGTCTTGTGGGAGTTTCAATCTCCCAATCTAAATTTCTTGATTTTTTAATTTAAAAAAAAAAATCTTAGCATTTATTAACTTCTCCTAACTCCCAAGTCTTATCCTCATAATAACACTTTAATACATTAAGAACAAGCATAAATTTTTTTTTGAAATCCAACACATATGAATTCCTTGAAAAGTCCCAATACATATGATTATTATCCTTCATAATAACACTTTAATGCATTAAGAACAAGCATAAAATTTTTTTCTTAAAAAGTCTAACATATATAATTATTATCAAAATATTAAACAACCAATTAAAATAACCAACAGTTGAAATCCAATTACTTTATTTGTTATAATTAAAAATCTATATCTATACTATATATTAATCAAAAGAGATTTTTAACGCCAAGTCTTGTGGGAGTTTTAATCTCCCAATCTAAATTTCTTGATTTTTTAATTTAAAAAAAAAAATCTTAGCATTTATTAACTTCTCCTAACTCTCAAGTCTTATCCTCATAATAACACTTTAATGCATTAAGAACAAGCATAAATTTTTTTTTGAAATCTAACACATATGAATTCCTTGAAAAGTCCCAATACATATGATTATTATCCCTCATAATAACACTTTAATGCATTAAGAACAAGCATAAATTTTTTTTCTTAAAAAGTCTAACATATATAATTATTATCAAAATATTAAACTTTAATATAATATAATAAAAAAAAAGACATTTAATTCATTGAAAAGTCCAACACATATGATTATTATCAAAATATTAAACTTTAATATAATATAAAAAAGGAAAAAAAGAAGACATTTAAAAAAAAATTATTTAAAAATCACAATTCACATATATAGATAATTATAAACACAATCCGTATATAAAAATGTAAGTGTTACCAAACGTCACCTACTTATTTGTTATAATTAAAAATTAGGGGGATGCACCAATAAATCCCAAATTAATAACTTATGCACTGTTTAGTCCTAAAAGTTTTCTTATAGACTGAAAGGTCCCATTACAATGTTAATAACATCAGATACAATGTTAATAACATCAGAGTCATGTTACAAACATTGGATTTCAAACATCTAATGTTCATCAAATTTCAATAATGTTTGAAAATATAGGATGAAAAACATCTAATGTTCATCAGATTTCAATAAATTTTGAAATTATAAAATGAAACATCAGATCATTCACATCATGTTGATGTAAAAATGGGACTAAATGGAGCATAAGAAAACTTTTAGGACTAAATGGTTCAACGTTTCAAAAACTAGGACTTATAGGTAAATTTTCCCAAAAATTAAGAGAAAAAAAAAAAGAGGTTAAAATTATAATTTATCCTAAAATATAGCTACCTGTTTTGACGATTCAACGCTGACGTTCAGCATCTTCTCTCCACCTCAAAATTTATTAACAAAGACGGCTACAGCAACTCCTCCTTCCGCCTACTCTTCTACCCCTCTGTCTCTCGCTCTCTCTATCTGTCTCTCTCTCACATCGTTTCAAAGTAAAAAAAACATTAGAATATAAAGAAGGAAGACTGTTTCCACTTCTATAATTCATTCCTATTCACTTTTTCGTCAACTTCCAATTCGAAGATTCCACTATTCGCTTCCTTTTCTTTGGTTCTAGTTCAATTTTGGTGGCTACGACGGTGCTAATTCATATCAATTGAGAAATTTTGAATCACTAATCGAACCTTCAGCTCTGATTTCTGTGAAAGATATAGACACAGATATATGTATAAGTAATATCATATATATACATATATGTAATGGCGGCATCAGGCGGAGCTAGGGACGCTGCACGGCAGCTGAGGGCGGCTGCGGAGGCGGCGATTGAGTCGATCGGGTTGGGATACGACCTTGCCTTGGATTTGAGGCTCAAGTACTGCAAAAAACACTCCGATGCCGATTCGCGCCTCATCACCATCGATCACGATGATAAGGTTCGTGATATCGCCATTCCCGGAGGTATTTTGGTCCAAAATGTCTCCAAATCCATCAAGTGCGATAAAGGCGAAAGGATGCGATTCAGCTCCGACGTTCTCTCTTTCCAACAGGTATATGTAATTGTGTATCATAACTGTCAAGAGTGTTTTTGTGATTACATATATGGATGGAATTTGTAGGTTTGAGTTTGGTCAAACTTGCACAGCCACACCTGGAGTTAATTTATGTGAATTTGGATATGTATCGAGTAGTTATGTAAATTTGCTTAATCGAATAATATTGGCATGTGCATTTATATAATTGCTTATTGGTCTAATTTTGTGAAATCCTCTTGCTTGTTATGTGTAGTTTTGAGAAACCGGTGATCGAGTTACCTAATTGATTTTCCTTGCTTCCTTAAGTTAGCAGCTATATGGCTAGTGTTTTAATGGATGTTTTGCATTTACCATAATTCGTGTGTTAAAAGTTTTCTTGTTTATGCTATGAAATTATATTTTCCGAATACTATGATGATGAAATAATGATATTGTATAGAGGATGCTAATTTTCAACTAGTTTGAAATCTTCCTTTGTGCTTGAAAGTTGCATTCACCTACTAACACCTAACTTTTGCTTAGCAGGGAAGAAAAGAAAAAAAAAACACATTCATGAACATTTGCTATAAAATCCTAGCAATGTTAGAAATTGATATGTAAATGCTTTGTTATAGTTGGGAGTAGATTCATGGGCATGAATTTTTTATGAAATGTAATTTGGTTCACATAAATTTCTCAACTTTTTTGTGCATCTTTAACCTGCGTGTAATTTTTCTTCTTCTAGATGTCAGAGCAGTTTAACCAGGAACTCTCCCTTTCTGGTAAAATTCCAACGGGCCATTTCAATGCTGCATTTGAATTTAGTGGTTGTTGGCAGAAGGATGCTGCCAACACTAAAACTCTTGCTTTTGATGGGGTCTTCATAACACTCTATAGCATTGTGCTAGAAAAATCCCAAGTAACACTACGGGATCACATTAAAGAAGCTGTGCCATCATCATGGGATCCTGCTGCATTGGCAAGGTAAGTAAACGGAAAATGCATTGGCCAAATCCTGTTTAATGCTTAAGATTGAAGTTCTCCTTAATGGGTGTACTATGGTGCTTTCTGTGACCTAAGAAACACGGACACTTCTAAGAAGGTAACGTATCCCTGTCGTGTTTGTGTTGGATACTGATACTCTTTGGACACTTACTCGACACGTATCCGATACTCTTTGAAGCGTGTCCTATTTTTTAATTTTTTTTAAAGACTCAGAGACTCTTTGGACACTTGGAGGACACACGTGTCTATCACTTAAACACACGTGTCTATCGATTAGACACATGTGAAACTAATTATAAGTTTGAACAAAAGAACTTAAGATACAATAAAACAAAAACCATATAAATTTATAGGAATCAGTGTCATATTGCATTTTTTATTCTTTGAATGACATATTCATATATATAATATTTAATAAATATATAAAATTATATATTCCTGTGTCCCCCATGTGTCGTGTTCTGTATTTTTTGAAAATTAGCGCGTTCGTGTCGTATCCGTATCGTGTTGCGTGTCTGTGTCAATGCTTCTTAGCTCGTGACAATCTCTTAATTCACAATGTTGAACTAGCTTAATTAGTTATATACTGCTCATTTTTGGTCATTTTACACGGTAACTTGCTCAAGAAAGCTTTCAAGTTCTACTAGAAAATTGCGTAGCAACCTAAAGTGCTATAAATGTGTTGGTATTAGCTACTTATTCTTTTTTGCAAGTTACTTTCTTAATGTTTAAGATGTGCTGCTTCTTTTAGCTTGAAGTTTGGATTACTTAATTAGAGAAACTTGCTTCTGTTATCTGGTAATAACAGAAGAATGAAAGAATTGAATGGCTTAGTCTAGAATGGAGACTAGCCTGTGTATATATACTAATAAAGATTTACAAGATAGGAAATAACATAAAAAGGAAACAAAATCAAGGCCTAAATAATGGTCATAAAATAAGCCCTAATTGATTCTAATTAATTCTAATTCCAAGGAAACAAAATCAAGGCCTACACATTGGCCATAAAATAAGCCCTAATTGATTATAATTAATTCTAATTCCAACACTCCACCTTAAGTGGGTGTGAAGACATTCAGCCTAAGAAGCACGGATACAGATACGGGTATGATACCATACGGATATGGCGATACGGCAAAATAGGCGGGGATACGTTTGTAAAAAATATTATTTTTATAATTTTTAGTACTAATGTAGTATGTATCAAAATAAAACCTAAAGCAAAAGAGGAGCATGATCATCTTCTTTCATGGGTGTACCACTTGTTGAACCTAAACTTTCCGTACCCGAACTCATTTCCTAAAAAATTATAAATTTGGTAAAGAAATAAAACAAAACATTAATGCAGTTATCTTTTGGCATGAACATCAAAAAAAAAAAAAAATTCAGCAATTCAATAAAATTTCAGCAATTCCAACAGTATATCATCACCCATAACAACCATAATGCAATTCAAATTAAGGGGGAAAAAATTTACCCTTTCAATGATCAAAATAAAATACCTCACAAGGCTCCTTGATGTTGTTGTCTTTTGAGGAAATAAAAAGTGGGTACTAGTAGCTTGGCTTAGCTGCAAAAAAAAAAAGAAAAAAAGAAAAAGAAATTCAAAGGGGTTAGACGGAGAGACAGAGAGTGAGTGAGATTGAGATTGAGATTGAGATTGAGCTAGAGCTAGAGAGAGAGAGAGAGAGAGAGAGATCGAGAGAGAGAGAGAGAGGGACTGAGATCGAGTGACACTGACAGAAAAGTGAGAGAGTGAGAGCGAGCGAGCAAGAGAGGACAAACCTTGGTCGACGACAACGACTCAGAGTTGCTGCTGTTCGCGAATCGCAATAGAGACGACGACGCTGTTACTGCTGTTCGAGTTGTTGCTGAGCTAGGGTTTGTTTGTTTGATTTTTATTTTATTTTATTTTAGATTGCTTTTGTTAATTTACACTTTGACCCCATTACAAGTTTTTAAAATTATTTTTTTGCCCCCCGTATCCCCGAAGTATCCCAAGCGTATCCTTGAAGTATCCTTATGTATCCCAAATGTATCCGAAATTCAAAAAAATTTAAAAAAAAATTGGGATACTTCTTTGCTGTATCTAATTCGTATCTTGTCGTATCAGACGTGTATTCGTAGCCGATACGCATACAGGGGCCATTTCGGAGTATCCGTGCTTTATAGCATTTAGCAAACCCAGCTTGACAATAGATGATTGAAGTAATGTTGGACCAATAGACTTTGTGAACATATCAGCTAGTTGCTCCAAAGAAGAGACAAATGGACTCACAATGCCAGTCTGAATTTTTTCTCAAATGAAATGCATGTCAACCTCAATGTGTTTTCTTCTGCTTGTGAATACTGAATCAGTTGATAACATAATAGCATTGTCACAAAACAAAGGAGAGGAAGCATCCTTGGTAAATCCTAACTCTGCAAGAATGGAGCGAAGCCACAAAACTTCACATGTACCTTGTGCCATTGCCCGATACTCAGCTTCAACAGAAGACCTCAAAACAACAGCTTGTTTCTTACTTTTCCATGATATAAGGTGATCACCATAAAAAGTACAGAAACCAGACGTTGATCGTCTATCAGTTTAGATCCTGCATAGTCTGCATCAGTGAAACAAGAGTCCTGATTGGGATCAGCTGTGAAAAATAATCCTAAACCAAGAGAAGTCTTCAAATACCGCAAATATGATGAACCGCATCAAGATGCTCCGTACGAGGTGCATGCATAAATTGACTTACAACACTAATCGCAAATGTCAAATCAAGTCTAGTGTTAGTCAAGTATATGAGACGGCTAACTAGGCGTTGATACATGCCTGGATCCTTTAGTAATTCGATAGACTCTAATGTAAGCTTGAGGTTAGGATCCATAGGAGTAGAAGCTGGCTTACACCCTAGCATCCCAGTGTCTTGAAGAAGATCAAGAACATACTTCATTTGGGACGACGAAATCCCTCGACGTGAGCGAGCAACTTTAATACCTAGAAAGTATTTGAGAGGACCGAAATCCTTAATATCAAATGTTCGACTCAAATCCTTCTTTACTTGAGTTATGCCAACTGAATCATCACCTGTAAGAATGATAGCATCAACATAAACAAGCAAAATAATACACTGATCAGTGGGAGTTTTGCGAATAAAGCAAATATGATCTGAGTGGCACTGAACAAATCCCATGGATAAAATAACAGAACTAAAGCGACTGACTGAACCAAGTCCAAGGAGACTGTTTAAGCCTATATAAGGACTTGCGTAGTCGACACACTTTCCCTGCATACTCCCCCGCAGCTCGAAAATCGAGTGGAGGATCCATGTAAATAGTCTCAAGTAAGTCCCCATGTACAAAGGCATTCTTGACACCCAACTGATACAGAGGCCAAGAATGTGAGGTAGCAAGAGAGATAAGGAGCCAAACAAAGGTAAGCTTAGCGACCAGTGCAAAGGTAGTCCCAAAATCCTTGCGAGGTACCTGAGCAAAGCCCTTGGCAACCAACCGTTCTTTGTAGCGGTCCACAATACCATCAGCAAGATACTTAATAGTAAACACTTATTTACAGCCAACAATCTTTTCACCAGATGGAAGAGAGACGGGCTACCAAGTCTGATTCTGTTCCAAGGCTGCCATCTCTGTTTGCATAGCAGCCACCCAATTGGGATTCTGAAGAGCTTCTGACACAGAACAAGGAATAGTTTCCAACTCGAGCTTGCCAAGGAAGGAACGATAGGCAAGGGAGACACTGTAATAAGAAAGATACTGGGAAATAGGATGATTAGTTCTACAAAGATAACCAAGACGATTAGGGGGATGTCTATTATGAGGAGGGTTGCGACAAGCAGTAGTAATCAAAGGAGAGCAATTACTTGACCCATGTATCGGAGAGGCTGTTAGCAGGGGACTAGAACGACGAGAATATACTTGCAATGGAGGGGGAGAAGAAGGAGGAGCAACATCAGCTTCAACCTTAGGAGAGACAACCTCAACCTCATGAAAAATGGCAAGAGGCTGAACATCAGAGTCCACAAATGGGATAGGAGTAAAAGAGGAATCTCGCACAGAAGGGCGAGTACCCAAAAAAAAGTCTCCTCATGGAAAGTCACATCACAAGAATGATAGTACCTACGAGTGCTAGGATCATAACATTGATACGCTTTGGATATAGTAGAATACCCTACTAAGATACATCTAATGGCCTTATCATCTAGCTTAGTGTGAGTAGGACTCCAGTTTTGAACAAAACAAGTGCACCCAAAACCCCGAGATAGGAGAGGAAAGAGAGTTTTAGTAGGGTGTAAGGGTTGGAGAGAGGCAAGACCATGCAAGACACGACTACGAGTACGATTAATAAGATAAACTGCACTAAGAACAACATTATGCGAGTAAGACTTAGGTACATTCATTCCCCTGAGAAGACAACGAACCACAGACATAATGTGACAATTTTTCCGTTCAGCAATCACATTTTATTCAGGAGTATTAGGACAAGTAAGTTGTTGAAGTATACCAGCCTGATTAAGATGAGAATGGAAATCATCAGAGATGTATTCCCCACCATTATCAGATTGGATATTTCGAACAACAGTGTAAAATTGGGTTTTAACCATTTGAAGAAATTGAGCAACTATGGGAAAGACATCAGATTTATGTTTAATAAGATAAACCTAAGCACAACGAGTGTGGTTATCTATAAAGGTCACATAATGTCTATGGCCAGACAAAGCAGTAACAGGTGAAGCGCCCCAAACATCAGAATGAATAAGATCAAACATAGAAGGAGCATGATGCATACGAGGAATATAAGCAGTACGGGTATGTTTAGCTAACTCACACACATCATATTGAAACTTTTGAGTCTTACAAGCTTTATTAAAATTTGAAAATAGTAAACATAAATACTAAAAATTTGTATGACCCAGATAAGCATGCCACAATGCTAAAGTCTTAAAAGAAAAAAACATAGGAGGATAATTCTTCAGATAACACAGAAGTAGAAAATTAGAAAGAAGCGGTTGATGTGGTAGATCTCCAAATTAGTATAAATCATCACGCTCATATCTCCTGCCGAAATCCTCTTCGAACTCAGGTCTTGTAACAAGCAAGAATCTAATAAGAAAATGACAGCAGAATGAAAAGCCTTGGCAAGCTGACTCACAAACAAAAGATTATACGCAAAATTAGGGACATGTAGGACAGAGAAAAGAGTAATATCAGGAGATAGAGTAACACCACCCTGATGATGAAAAGAGGTAGTAGAACCATCAGCAAGACAAATAGTTTGGGTGGTAGCAAGAACTGGAGAAGAGTGGTAGGAAAGCTCACTGGTCATGTAGTCATTAGCCCCAAAATCTAGAACCCAAGTAGGACGTGCAGAGCGAACATGGAAAGCAATAGGAGTACTCGTAGCCAAAGTGGCATCCGTAGATAATGGCCTTGAAGATATTTTAGAACCAAGCTGAGCCTGAAGCTGACCAATCTGAGTCTGAAGGAGATGCAAATCTGGAGTAGTGGAACTTGGAATAGTCTTCACAACAGCAGCAGTGCAGGAGGAGCCGAATGGACGAACATGTGAAAAACGTTGTCTCAACTCAGGATGAGTTTGAAACAGCAAGCCTTGACATGGCCCGGTTCTCCACAATGATGACAAATTACCTTCCTAGTAGAAGAATGAGACCCAGTGTGTGTAGCAAGAGCCATTTGATCAGAGGAGACAAGAGGCTCCGGGACTGGAGTAGAAGCAGGCAGAACCAACCAACGACGGTGCTCATCACTATCAAAAATAGCAAAGGCCTCATAAAGGGAAGGCAGAGGAAATGTGTTTAAAATCTAGATACAAAGAGACTTGCTCAGAGTTTAAACCCATCAAGAACTGATATGTATGCTGTTGAGCAAGTGTCTTGGTCATAAGTGAAGCAGCCTTAGCTGGAAGATCAGTCAAAGGCTCATATTGAGCTAACTCTTCCCAATGTGCCTGAAAATACCCAAAAAATTCAGCCACAGAAATATGTAAAGCAGACTGAGAAGCACAAGCAATATCCTGATAAACTTCAAAGATGCGAACATTATTACGAGCATGGGCATACATTTGAGATAAGGCGCGCCATAAACTAGAAACGGTATCATAGTATAAGAACATATGATAAATCCGGTCCTCCATGGAATTGAACATCCATCCTAAGATAGTGTAGTTGTCAATATCCCATTGATAGTGTGTAGAATCTGTAGCGTCTAGCTGAGTAGTGGTAGATGAAAGCCAATGAGCTTTCCCCTTTCCCCCCAAATGGAGTTTAAGGAAACGACTCCAGGCAGCGAAAAGTTTCCCATTCAACGCCACACTTGTAATACGATGAACCGGAATATGGTGTGAGAGGGAAAAAATAGGATTCACTGGAACGGGTTTAACAGGAACCATGGGAGAAACATCAAACTCAGTCATGGTGGCTAGAGAAACAGGTGATGTGTATAGTTAACAATCCAGAACAATACACAAATCACAGAATAATTGCTATCGAACAACCCGGTAGAACACTAACAAAAATAACGAAGAAAAAGATGCTTATTGCATCAACACCAAGTCCCGAAATAGGGACAAAACCTACCGAACTGCCCTAGAAGGGCTGTTGGCTGGAAATAAGACTGCCAAACAGCCTAGGGATGGCTGTCGGCTGTAACTTAGGTGACAGATGGCTTGGGCGAAGGAAGAAGAAGGGCCAACTGGTGAGGAGAGGGATGGGTAAGGACCGGAAGAGAGAGAGAGAGGGGCTGTCAGAGCGTAGTGGTGGCTGTCGAAGGGTTTGGGCAAGGGTGGAAGTCAAACGGCTGAGATGGAAGTAGAGAGAAAAGGGTTAGGGTTAGGGTTAGGGTTAGGGTTAGGGTTAAGGTTAGGGTTTGGCTCTGATACTAAGAAGAATGAAAGAATTGAATGGCTTAGTCTGGAATGGAAACTAGCCTGTGTATATATACTGATAGAGATTTACAAGGTAGGAAATAACATAAAAAGGAAACAAAATCAAGGCTTAAACAATGGCCATAAAATATGCCTTAATTGATTCTAATTAATTCTAATTCCAAGGAAACAAAATCAAGGCCTAAAGAATGGCCATAAAATAAGCCCTAATTGATTCTAATTAATTCTAATTCCAATTGTAACAAATATCTAGAGTTTGTAGTATAAGAAGTAGGGATACAGACATGCAACATGGCACAAATACAACATGGACACTCCAACACAATAATTTTTAAAAAAATGGAAGACATAACATGTAACGACGTGTGCCAAATATGTACTTTAATATATTTTATTTAGGGAGAATAAAAAATGCAACATGATGCTAATTCTTGAAGTGTAAAGAATGAGAGATTAATAGCTATCAATCAACATTATTTTTTCTTTTTATCATTGGATCAAAGTTTTTTTCTTCAAACTTATAATGTGTTTCATCCATGTCTAACCGATCAATACGTGTGTTTTCCAAGTGTCTGGATCTACAAATGTGTTTTGACACGTGTCGGGAAATGTTGTACAAGTGTTGATGTCTGGCACCGACACACCTCGTTCTTAGAACGTTTGTGCCTCTTAGGTTGTACTCTTAAGGTGTATTTCACTTTATAGGTTAAACAATTCCTGTGACTTAACCAAAAAGCATATATAGTCGCAATTATTTTTTGATTGAATTTTAATCTTTTTGAAAGATTAAAGAAATCAAGATTCTTTGTTTAAAGAATTTTGTTGTTGCATTAGGTATAGAAACAATGAATGCATACAACCGAGCCACACACAATGTTAATATGACTATTGGGGCTTGGCTTCACAAAGCCTTTTATGCAAATATATTTTTTGTCTAGGGCCATGCTATTAACTCATAGGATATCATTACTCTTTTCGCTTACTAAAAAAATCTTTTCACATCATTGATTTCATTTTCTTTTTCTCCACCCATCTTTTCCTCTATTGCTCCTTGTCCTTTGGCATAAGTCCATTGTTCACTTAGTTGCATGAAGTGGACAACTAAGAAAGGAACATGTTCATAAATGGATATAGTTGGGATGAGAATGCCTAGATGGATGTGTGGTAAGATTAAGATAGATAGAATTAGAAATGAATATATTCGTGAAATGATAAGAGTAGCACCAAATTGAAGATTAGTTGAGAGAGAACAAGCTAAAATGTTTTGCCCATGTACAATGGAGACCTATATATGCAATAGTAAGGAAGAGTTCTATTATCACCATAAATGACAATGTTAGGGGGAAAGGAAGACCTAAGCTGACATGGGATGTCATAGTAAAAAAGATATAAATTTATTTAATTTAATTCTGTTTATAGCCACTGACACGGCAGAATGACAAAAACAGATTCATACAACCGACCCGACTTGATTGGGACTCAAGGCTTAGTTTGGTTTGGTACTAGTCATCAGCCATCGCTGCTAGTAACAAAATATCATAGTTGGTTGTCTTCTCTCTCAGTTTTTGTTGCCTCTAGCTTTTCTTGAATGCATTCAATTTACGTCCATCTAGGCTACCTCTAGCCCAAGCACTGTCACAGCAAGCAATCAGCTCCAGTTCATTTTTTTAATATATATATATATATGTCTTTTGTTTTGGTAATAATTTTCTGTGCATTTCCAGGTTCATTGAGAAGTTTGGTACCCATGTTATCGTTGGTATCAAGATGGGAGGAAAGGATATTGTATATGTGAAGCAGCAACATTCGTCACCTCTGCAACCTGCTGATGTACAGAAAAGATTAAAGGATGTGGCAGACAAGACGTTTAGTGATGTAACTGGACAGTATGGTACCGAGCCTCGAAAGGTATATGCGTAGGAAATGGTTTGCAACTGTCTAAGCTTTTCTATATGCTATATCGAATTTTTATATATGCCTATATGTAGAAATATAGACATATATATATGTTAGATAGCTTGATATACTTTGTTGGGTCCATTTCCTAACAGTTTAGGCTTTTGGGAAAATTGTTAACTTAAAATGGTATCAAAGCCTTGGTTGAATGAGATCTTGGGGTTCAAGTCTCTCTATTGACATTTGGTATTTGGTCCCAGTTTGATTTATTCTCTATGAAGCACGGACAAGAACACGTGACACGACACGGACACGCGAACACGCAAATTTTCAAAAAATGGAGGACACGACATGCTGGGGACACGTTCAATATATATATAATTAAATTTATTTATTATATATCATAAAATTATAAAAAAAATCATTGAAAGGTAATGACAAATACAAAATAACACTATTAAAATTGGTTCCTATAATAAAATTAATAAACACATATCATTAAAATTAACAAAACTAATCAGCAAGAAAAAAGGATTATAATTAAATAACAGAGGCAGAGAGAGAGAAAAGAAAAAATAAAATAAAAAAAAATAAGAGAGAAAGAGAGAGAGTAAAGAAAAAAAAGAAAAGTCGAAGAGAGAGAGAGAGAGAGAGAGCAATTGAGAGAGATGAGAGAGAAGATCAAAGAAGATTTGAACGAAGAAGAAGATCAAAGTTGTACCTTGGATAACAGCAAGAGTAGCGACGATTGACCACCAACCAGCGACGAGCGACGACTGACCAGCGACAAGCGACCAGGTGTGCCTGACTAGCCTTTCTCTTAGTCTCTTCTGTTCTCTCTATTCGATAACTAGGTTACAAATTGATTTGTTTGCTTTAATTTTTGTTTTTTACAAATTAACCCCAACTTGAAGTCTCATAAATTATGATTTGCACCCCGCGGTGTCCCGAACGTGTCCATTACGTGTTTGGCTGCAAAAAAAAAAAAAAATGGACACCTTCTACTGTGTGTCGGACATGTGTCCACCACATGTTCGATGCCTGTCCATGTCCGACATTGATACGCAGCCCTCAGAGAGGTGTCCGTGCTTCATAGTTTCTTCTTCTCTGTTTGGCTGTTTGCTTCTCCTTTTGTTTGGTTCTCTGTTTGTCTTTCCACGTGCAAGATGGGGTTGCACGTGAGGGAGAGTGTTATATAGCTTGATATACTTTGTTGGGCCCATTTCCTAATAGCTTAGACTTTTGGAAAAATTGATAACTTAACATTATATAACATATTTATATGTCTATATCTAGTAATCTATAACGAATTGAATATAATTTTAGGAAACAGAGGATAAGTGAGAAAAAAATGGTGGCTTGAAGATATGAAACAACTTTCCTTGTGTTAGATTGTGCAGACATAGGAAGAAAGATTGGAAAAGGATCTTGTATGGTATAAGAGTTTGATGCAAGGAAAAATGCCTTCAGTGTGTTTTCTGATTGTAGAATAACTATCAAGTTGAAGCAAAAATTGTATGAGCGGGTTAGAAGGTATGCTCTATAAAATTGGGGAATTTTGGTTAACAAAATCCTTTTTCATATAGAGGGTTAAAAACTCGCATTGGTACTTTCTAAAAAAAATTTATTTTTATTTTTTATAACTCGGTATCTGACCCATTGGACCAACCAATCCAGAAGACTAATCCCACCGTCCACTAGCAGGGGGCCCAATCAAAGCCGGGGCTTTGCCCTGTATGGACTGGCCCCAAGAAATTGTTTGCATCTAGGAGGTTTTGAATCTGAAATCTTAGAGGGAGCACACCCCTAGGCCCCAATCCTTGGCCTCACCACGCCAACCCCTTGGGGTTACATTGGTACTTCTTAACTTAGTGATCAGCACCTGAAGGTAGAAATTTTTTACTTGCAAAGTGACAATGCAGTTGCAGTTTTTACTTAGGCCCCGTTTGGGGACTTACTTTTTTAGCCAATTAGCCAAAAAGTTACTAAATTAGCCAAAAAGATAACAACTCATACCAAAAAGTCAAAGATTCTCTTTTCTCTCTACTTTTTGCACATCTTTTCGTAATTAGCCAAAAAGTCATCCCAAACATACAAGTTTTTTTTACCTACCTTTTTAGCCAAATAGCCAAAAAGTTATTAAATTAGCTTGTTCCCAAACGAGGCCTTAATATTGTTATAAGTGAGCTCCAGCTTGGCATTGTTTTTATTCGATAGAAAGTTTCCTTTAGCTCATCTGTCATCTCTAATTTGTTGTTGAGGTAGATCGTCTTGTTTGTGGATATGGCATTGCGATGTCTGAGTTATTCTTCCGAGATTTGATTCATTGATTACTTCATGGACTACATTAAAATGGAATATAAAGTATACCGTGGGAATTCGTTGCAACTTCTTATGTCTCTTTTGTATTTTAAATATACCATGGGCAGGTGTTGCAACCTTTACTTACATCTCTTTTCTTTTTTAGCATGAGATCAAGGATGATGGGCTGAACTTCATGGACAACAGTAGCTTTAGTTCTTACTCTTCACAAGAGGTAAGATTAATTGCAAAGTCAATATTTAAGTTTATTCCTCAGCTTCTCCCCGAATTTGATCCCATGTTCATGTGAGATATTGAGACTTGTGTTACTGTGATTCATGCATGAATGTGCTATTATATGTGTGGTCAAAGTTTTAAATGACCAGTATACCTGAGTTTGCTTTCTTGAGCCTAAATATCTACTTATTTTAATTGCAGGATATTACATTCATCTGGAAGAGGAGAGGTGGAAATAATTATAAAAAATTACCCCATGATAAGTGGTGTCAGACTGTCCAACTCGAACCTGATGTGATCTCAATGACCTTCATTCCAATCTCCTCATTATTGAGTGGACTTCATGGGAGTGGATTCTTGAGCCATGCTATTAATCTCTATCTACGTTGTGAGCAAGAAAATTTATTTTCTTTATTCCATAGTGTTACCATCATTACTATTATCGTTATTTTCTTATTGGGTTTTTCAATTAAAAGATTGAGTTAGCCTCCCATGCTGCATTGCAACGTAATTTGATGCTTTCCATGTTGGCTGGGTTTTGTAGTATAAAATTTGTCAAAAGAACAAATAAGAAAGTCCACATATATAAATCAAGATGCAGGTTTTTCCCCTTTAAATTAACTAGGAACAAGCAATATATACACATACAAATATATTACATATTAGGAGCAAGTAATTTAGTGGTGTAAGGTTCAATAGGACCATTTGCATAATTCATGACATATGATATCCAGTATGATAATTAGTCTAGCTTGATTGTTTTTTTGATCGGCAAGAAAATTTTATTTTAAAAAAATAAAAAAATAAAAATGAGAAAGATATGCAAGAAAGTTCAAGGAGTAAAAGATGTCCTCCAAGGAAAACAAACAAAACAAAATCACAAATCACATATAACCAATCCCTAGAAATCAAAAACAAAGGAACCCCTCTAAAACGGGATGACACCAAAGCCCAAAAAAAAGACCAATGACATATCTTATTCCATAATCATCCTCCATCTTCAAACTTGTCCTCAATGATGTTTGTATTTCTCTCCGACCAAATAACCCAAATCATAGTTCAAATGGCACAAGTCCGTAAAACTTGAGCCCTCTTTGTTAGAAGGAAAACCCCTATTGTCAATAAAAAGCATCCAAACACATAGAAGGCCCTATATGTTGGATGCTCCAATGAACCTATGGTAACTCAATGAAAAGGCTAAATTTAAGCTTGTTAACTTTGACATGTTTGTTTCAACTTTAAAATAGTATATATTGATTTTGGCACAACAAAAGTTTACTTAAAAAAAGCACCTAAACCCAACATTTAAAAGTTAGTTTTTTGAGTTTGTTCTACATTTTTAAGTAGAAAAAACAAATAAATTGAACCTGAAAATTGGAACCAAATACCCTACCTTTTTGAAGTACAATAGCTTAAGCACATGAATTCAAAATTTAAGCTGCAAATAAGTGGAAACAAACAGGGCCTTTGTAGCTCCTAAAGTTCTTCATTTTTTTTTTCCTTTTTTTTTTTTGGAGACTGGTTTGGCTTGGGTTTAAAGGCAACCATCTCAAGATGAATCATGGATGGTGATGAGGTCTCATGACTGATGATAATACATTTTAAAATTGTTGACAGCTGCAAGTGTCATAGCTAGTTAATGAGTGATAATGGAATCAATTAGTATTGATGAATGTAAACAGTGAGATGTGGAGTTTCATGGTTACCAGAGGGGATGATGATGTGATGGCAAGCTATCCAAGATACAAAAAATGATTCATCTTAGACATCTCCTGTCTATTAGGTTTCATCATTATCATAACTACACCTGATCAATGGTATCTAATCATTTTTATGCAATCAATAAATGTTAGCTGTCCTGCTTGATCCCCGCAATGCTATCAGTTTATCCTCTTGGAAAAGGAATTTTGTTTTTCAATGACACTGTTTTGAATGAAATATGTTGGTTGATCAACTAATATTAAGAAGTGAATCCCCTATTGGTGCATCAAGTGGTAAGCAAGCTTCAATAGGGCCATGTTTTTCTTCATTGTTATTAGAATTGATTACTTAGGTCTCATTGCCAAACAGTTCAGGCAGGGTTCCTTCTTCTCCTTCTTCCATAACCTGAGCTCGGAGAAGGAAGAGATAAGAGGGCTTCTCAGTCCACTGACGTGGTGGCAGGCAGTAGATCTCCCATATTCTTTGAACAAAAGAAAATTGACACATTTTTAACTTCCAGCAATTCTTCAACTGCAGCCTTTAGTTTATTGTTCTTCTATCACCTGAAAAAATTGGTATTTTTTGGTTCCATTCTTTGTTTTTGTAATGGGAAAGTATAGTTATATCTGCCTATGTTTTTTTATGCTTGAGTACATTCTCTGCTTGTTTGTAATGCGAGTTTGACTTATTACTGTTACTTCTTCAGTATAGCTAGTTATATCCAAGAGATGTTTATGTTGTTTTTCTGTGTGTTGTTCAGAGTAAATGATCACCTTATTCTTACTACTTGTATTCCCTTTTCAAAATACTTGTTAATTTCATACTCCAATTTTTGTTTTTATTTAAGTTCCTAGTCGTACTGCAAAATTCAAATTCCATTGACATTGTCTTTGCTTCTAATATATTTTCAACCTTTGGTCTCTGACTGCAGACAAACCTCCAATTGAAGAACTTTATCAGTTCTTGGAGTTTCAACTTCCAAAGCAGTGGGCACCAGTATATGGTGAGCTTGCCCTTGGTCCTGAGAGAGAGCAGCAAAGTGGTGCATCTTTACAGTTCAGCTTTATGGGTCCGAAGCTCTATGTTAACACGACTCTGGTAATGTTCCTAATAATTTAAACTGTTAATTTTGTTCTTTCTTCGGTTGGTTTATGTTTTTATTGACAAAGATGGTATGTGAATTGATCATCATGATCTATTCGGAGTCCTCAATTATAGTGCTTACGTTTTCCACTTCCTTTGAGATTTAAATCTTCTTCCTTAATTTTTAAAATTTTCATTTAGGAGTAAAGATAGATGAAGCGCAATGTTGTTGACTGAAGAGAAGTGTTATATAGCTTGGCATTAGCTTGGTGTTTTGAATCATCTTTAAGTTTTGCATGCCAAGACTTGGACTCAAGGGTATCTTATGTTGCTAATTTAATAAAACTTGAGCTAGGCTAGGTTAAGCTGGAAGAAGTCAGGTTTATTTGGCTTGAGCCTTGAATTGATCCCATTTCTTACCAAGGCTGTCTTCAACCTAGAGTTTAGTGTATTCCATGAATACTTCAATGTCCTTGAGGCCATGCTTTTTGTAACAAACCTGAGCTTGTCAACAATGATCAGCTCATTGTGGCCAAAATTTTATGGTTCTTTAACTTGTGTTGTGTGGCATAACAGGTGTCTTGGGCCTACTACTTACTTTGGGGGGCCATTACAGGCAAGGATGTGAATCCCATTATGTAGCAATTGTTACCGGCCATTATGGGCTGTGAGCTGACCACATATTATGCACAACATTTTTCTTCTTTCTAGTATTGATATTGTTGTTGAACTTTTTTTTATTTTGAGAGATCAGGGGATTTGAACCCACTGTCCACTCCATATTAACCCTCTAGTTATCTCTATGCCAGTTGATTATGTGCGTCATTTTGACTTTTTATTGAAGAGATCTTTATCATCATTATATATATACCGTTTGTCTACTTTTGAGAGTTAGGATCAGCAAGAGGGGGTTGGTCTATTCGCATCCTTTGAACAGGAGCCTCTATTCACTAGAATATTTCTCTCAGAAAGAGAACCTATTGTAAGGCAATAAGTGAACCTCTATTCACTAGAATATTTCTCAGAAAGAGAACCTATTAAAAGGCAATAAGTGAAGCACACTTTTTATACACTTCTAGGCTCTCTTATTTCTCACTACGTGATGGACTGTCATAAACATGTGTAGGCAATCATTTGTCAAGATGAAGTATTGACTCTGGTTGAACTAATGAATAATTTTAGTGTTTATGAATGTACTGAAATTTTAGCAGAACCAATCATTTATGCTGAAGGTTTATTTCATAATTCATTAGAGAGATGCATGGCGATATTAATGATTTATCCTATTTCATCATATTATTTCGATGTTAATCGTCATAGATAGATAAACAGCGTCAGTTGATGAAAACAGAGTTTGTACATCTTTGATGATCCAAACAGGGAAATAATTGGAATAACTTCTGCATAAATTTCAGAGCTAAAAAAAATTGTGCTGGCCATCTAATATAATCCCAATATGGAAATCATGTTAGTTTCCAAGGCATCTTTTCGGTTTCTTTGTTCATATTTCACCACTGTATTTGCATGAACTTCTTTGTGCTGGTATACATAGATGACAGTGGTCATATAGTTCACAATGGTGACCTATTTTTGCTTGATGCCAGCTGGAATATATTCAAACAATGATTTTGCTTGCATCTTCTTCCATGTTTGGTTAATGAGTATTTCAAAAACTAATAGATGCGATTGGAGGTAAAGAATAATTTAGTTTTTCATGCCAGACTGCCTAACTAGTTTGTTTTGTCTTGTATACCAGCAAATGCCGTGCAATTTTTAGTTTGGATGAGTTTTAGGTCATGTCGTCCCCAAAGAAGGATCAACAAAATACATTATATGAATGTATGATTATGCTACCTATTTATTGATTATTATCATGATGACGAATTTGAATTCCATGACAGGTAGATGTGGGAAGGAGGCCAGTCACGGGGCTTCGACTCTATTTGGAAGGGAAAAAAAGCAACTGCTTAGCGATCCATTTGCAGCATCTTTCCTCTCTACCAAAGAGCTTCGAACTTCAGGAAGAGCTGAACGGCAACAACTCCAGTAACTCAAACAACCGTAGGTACTACGAAAAGGTCAAGTGGAAGAGCTTCTCTCACGTATGCACCGCCCCGGTTGAATCCGACGAGGACCTTTCCATTGTAACCGGGGCCCAGTTCGAAGTAAGGGAATCCGGATTAAAAAAGGTTCTCTTTTTAGGTCTCCATTTTTCTAAGGTTATTGGCGCTGTAGTCGTGAAGGCACCTACTTGGGATGGATCTCTGGCTCTGGCTCAAAAGTCCGGAATTATATCAACCCTGATGAGCACACATTTCTCAACGCCTGCTCAAAAACCACCTCCTCGCCCATCTGACATAAACATAAACTCCGCTCTGTATCCTGACGGCCCACCCACTGCGGCACAGGCGCCTAAACTTCTGAGGTTTATCGACACGAAAGAGATGACGAGAGGTCCTCAAGACCCACCTGGGTACTGGGTTGTGTCCGGAGCGAGACTTGTGGTTGACAAGGGTAAGATATCTCTCCATGTTAAGTATTCTCTATTGACTGTGGCTTTGCCTGATGAAGAAGTGCAATTGCAGTACTAGAAAGATTAATTGGTACAAAATTGGAGAACTGGACTGTTGAAAACAAACATTACAGGAGGTGCGTGAGAGAAAATTCTTTTCTTTTACAATAGTTGCTAAAAACAAAAATTTCTTTTACAAATTGTGTTCAAGAATTTGTCAGAAATGTAAGTGGGAGATTTGCTGTAGTGTTTGTATAGTGAATTTTTTTGTGTGAAAATTGCTCTTTATTCTTGTGCACATCATTCATGCTGTTGCGACTATTATGTTGTGTTAGATTTGTAAAAGGGATTTGCGGAGGCGAAAGAAAATGGTAGGAATTTGTGAAAAGTAAAAAAAATTAAATTGTGTTGTGATTGGATGTTGGATTTGTGGAAGGAACAAAAACTCGAAAGAATTTGTGAAAAATTTTCGTTGGTATTTTCCCTTTCCTTGTCTCTCTGTTTTTATTTTTCAAGAAAAATTTCACAAAATAAGTTTAATTTGGTTGGAAGGAATGACAGATACTCTTTTGGGCCCACTGATAGTTTCAAGCAGGATGCATTGCCTCTAACTTCATTAAATTTTTATTTTATTTTATTTAAATAACCTCATTTTAGGGCATAAACCTAAAAAATTAAGCAACACCTAAGTTCTAATCACATCTAGTCGAACTTGTGTTACACGTCTGGGAATAAATCTTTCAACACTCCACGTTGAAATTGTAACCAAATACATAACAAAAAAAATTAAAATATTTAAAAATATATTTGTATAATAAAAAAATATTTAAAATAAAAATAAATTTTTAATATTTGAAAAATATTTTTTAAAAAATACAACACACAAATGTATGAAATATAGTGCACATTAAAATAAATAAATAAATATTTACCCTAAAAAAATAAAATTAAGAAATCTTTTAAATAATTTTAAAAAAATAAATTCAAAAAATTTCAAAATACTACTAAAAACTCAAAAAATTTTTTACAACTCATAACTGAACAAATTTTTTATTTTCAAAACTCAACTCAAAACGCATAACTTAAAACACAATTCCACACTCAAATTATGATTCTAAAAATAATTTTAAAAAAATAAAAAAAAATATTTTTTGATTTGTTTTTTTTTTTAAATAGAGTTTTGAAAATAGTTTGGTTTTGAGTTTTGAATTGAATTTTGAATTATGTGTTTGGTTATGAGTTTTGAAAATAATTTTTAAATTGAGTCTTGAGTAGTTTTGAGTTGTATGTTTGATTATAAATTTTAAATTTTTTTGATTGAAATCATAATTTCAAAAGAGCACCAAACGTAACCTTAATTTTTATTTTGATGGTATTTTCCTTTTGCTACTCTCTCTGTTTTTATTTTTCAAGAAAAATTTCACAAAACAAGTTTAATTTGGTTAGAAGGAATTCTCTCACAGATGACAGATACTCTTTTGGGCCCACTGATAGTTTCATGCAGGATGCATTGCCTCTAACTTCATTAAATTTTTATTTTATTTTATTTAAATAACCTCATTTTAGGGCATAAACCTAAAGAATCAAGCTACACCTTCTAATCACATCTAGAGCTCGATTGGGATGCTAGGATTTGAGATTTTTTGATTAAATAGTAAAAAAAAAAAAAAAAAAAATTTAGTTTAATAAGATAAAAAATCACATCAAATTTATAATTATTACATTCTTTATTGCACAAAAAATTAAAAAATTCTTTCCAAATAAGACTTTAACTCTAAATTAAAATAATCAAAAAATTAAAAAATCAACTCACTCCTCAAACCCATCCTTAGCCGAACTTGTGTTACACGTCTGGGAATAAATCCACACATGATCTAGTCAAACTTGTGTTGCACGTCTGGGAATAAATCCATTGAGCAACGAGACGAGACAAAAATAAAGGTGGTACGTCTTTGTCAAGCTAGGGCATCTGTTTTTATGCATGCGGATATGACTTTTGCTTTGTGAATTTACTTAGCTAAAGCATTCATCATGTGCATGTACATGTACAACACATCTTTTTAATTCACCAAGCAAGAATGGAGAAGGAAAAAAAAAAAAAAAGGTTGATGACCAAAAGCTGCCATAAATCACTGGTCTGAATTGCCACCTAAAAAAGACGTCCCAGAGGAAATAAATTGTTAGTCAGAAGTCACGAGTGGGGGACCAAATAAAGATATACTTGTACTGATATGCCACTAACGTATATAGTGCGTCTAGTTCTTTTATCTTCATAATTAAACGTTATATTTCAAGAATGCGACTAAGAAGAAACTACTACTAATATGTTTAATGTGTCTGACTTTTTGTCCCTTCGTAATTACACGCAAACTAGTACTAATATGAAGGTGTTTGGCCAGATTTTTTTTTTTTTTTTTGATTTTTTTCACTAAAAGATAAAAATTTTATAAAATCAAAAAAAAATAAATTCAAATAAAATATTACATCCAATCTCATAATTATTTTACTTTTTCTCTCACAAACATCACATCCAACCACAAAAAAATTCAACTATCTTTCCAAACACCAAAATTTTTTTATTCAATAATATTCTACAACTAAAAAAATTTACATAAAAATTCACTTTCTAAACACCCACTATGTTTAATGGCCTATTTTGAAAAGATAGTAAAAAGTGACTTTTTGACTTTTAATCAAGTTTTTGACTTTTTTAGACAAAAAGTTGCTTTTGACTTTTTTGATTAATATTTATTTATGATATCAAATCACAATAAAATGACCAAACTACCCCCATTTATTTAAAATATTTATAATTTCACCTATGTAATACATTTTAACCCATGAGGGGTAGAATTATAATTTCACCATTGGCTAAAAACTAACTTCCCAAATGAAAAAAATGACAAAAAAATCAACTTTTAACTTTTACTACAAACCTAAAAACCCCAATGTGTCTGACCTTTTTCTCTCCATAATTAAACGCGATAACATGATTAAAAGTAGAATTAAGAAATTAAACTAGAAGTGACACTTTTATTAATTATAATATTGAAATTTTTTATAAAAATATTTTATATAAATTTTTACGATTGATTTCAAGAAAGATAAAAAAAAAATTTATTATTTGTAACTAGTATATTATGGGCAATATTAAAAAAAAGTCATGGATATAAGTTTTAAAATAAATTATATAATGATAAAGTAATTTTTATACACAAAATTTGATTAAAATTTTAATATAATAGTAACATCATGTTATCATTAACATGTAATTTTACCAACCAATAGTAAAGAAACATAAACTCCACATGTCAAGTATAACTAACAATCCAATAAATTTTATATCTTCATTAAGATTAATCATGTTTGTATCTAAATGATGATAGATATCACAATTGTATTAAAATTTTCATAGATAATAATATGACTTATCATATTCTCTTTATTTTCAATTAAAATAACCATTATTGTTTTTATAATTTTAAAAATATTATTGAGATTTCACTCTGATTAATATTTTTATAAATTTTATTATTAAAAATATTTTTTTATATTTGAATTTTTTTTTTCAAAACCCAGGGCAGAAATAAAGTGCCTTTTTTTTTATTTAAATTCTCAAAGTTTTCCTTCCCTCTTTTTTTTCAGATGTTTTGAGGAGATCGGATTTTATTCCAAGGAATCAATCAAACAGTCATCCTCTAGCCAAATATCTTATAGAGGAACCAAAATTTTATTCCGAATGAGAGACTTGGTCATCACTTCCTTGTCTAACATTTCTTCATAAAATTAAGGTGCCCTCAAAGTCAGTGGCCCAAAGATTTTCACTCGACGGACAGAACTTCCATAATTTCCGAACTCACTCAAATTTTATTTTCAAAAAATTTCCAAGGAATTTAACATCTTATTCAATCTCTCCACACAGTATCTCTCTCTCTCTCTCTCTCTCTCTCTCACAGATCTCTCTCTCTCTCACATGGATCCGTGGTTTCAGATCTGTTGGTGGTGATGAAGATCATCTGTTGGTGATGAAGATGTTGCTTTCAGATCTGTGGTATGAAGACGTTGTTGGTGATGAAGATCTGTGTTTGTTTTTTTTTTCAGATCTGTTGGTGGTGATGATCTCTTGTTGAGATGTTGATTTTTTTTTTTTTCTTTTGATGATGTTGTATTTTTGGCCGGGATTTTCGGGGTCGGGGAACCGATCCCCGTTACGGGGCGGGAATGTGGGGCGGTGGTTAGTTGGTTCCCCTCGGGATGGGATGGGACGGCGGGGCGGGGGAAGTTCTGCATCGGGGATCGGAACGGGGAGGGTGATCCCCGGCCCCGCGCCCGCCCCGTTGCCATTCCTACTCAGGGGTCATGTGCCCTGGGTTTTTGAAAAAAAAAATTCAAATATAAAAAAAATATTTTTAATAATAAAATTTATAAAAATATTAATCAGAGTGAAATCTCAATAATATTTTTTAAAATTATAAAAACAATAATGGTTATTTTAATTGAAATAAAGAGAATATGATAAGTCATAATATTTATCTATGAAAATTTTAATACAATTGTGATATCTATCATCATTTAGATACAAACATGATTAATCTTAATGAAGATATAAAATTTTATGGATTGTTAGTTATACTTGACAGTGTGGAGTTTATGTTTCTTTACTATTGGTTGGTAAAATTACATGTTAATGATACATGATGTTACTATTATATTAAAATTTTAATCAAATTTTGTGTAAAAAAATTACTTTATCATTATATAATTTATTTTAAAACTTATATCCATGACTTTTTTTTAATATTGCCCATAATATACTAGTTACAAATAATAAATTTTTTTTTTTTATCTTTCTTGAAATCAATCGTAAAAATTATATAAAATATTTTTATAAAAATTTCAATATTATATTAATAAAAGTGTCACTTCTAGTTTAATTTCTTAATTCTACTTTTAATCATGTTATCGCGTTTATTATGGAGAGAAAAAGGTCAGACACATTGGGGGTTAGGTTGTAAGTAAAAGTTTTAAAAGTTGATTTTTGTCATATTCTTCATGGGAAGTTAGTTGTAGCCAATGTGAAATTATAATTCTTACCCTCAATGGTTAAAAATGTGATTACTAGGGTGAAATTAAAATTATTTTAAATAAATGGGGGAGTTTGGTCATTTAGTGATGTTATATCATAAATAAATATATATCGAAAAAAGTCAAAAGCAACCTTTTGTGTCGGCGTAAAGAAAGTCAAAATATGTATTAAAAGTCAAAAAGTCACTGGTGACGTATCTTTCAAATAGCCATAAGAACATAGTGGTGTTTAGAAAGTGGAATTGTAGAGTTTTTTTAGTTGTGGGTAAGAATGATGAATACAA